TTAATGTTTAGCTCCAGCTACTATAAATATTTATCAGCTCCTCATAGAGCCAGAGCAACTCACCGTGGGGCCCCAGCTTGTGTGGAAATTTTGATTTTCGCCCCGCATTGTCTTGTGCCCTAAAAAGGTCCTGCAGCTGCTTTGCAGGATTATGCTGAACTTTTAACAGGTTCAAAAATGTATGTCATCGTTGTTGTTGTTGTTTGTGTTTGTAGGAACGAAACAAATTCTAAAATATACATATATCTATACCAGCAATAATATTCAGAGAGAAGCTACAGCATTTATTATAGTTAATTTATTGTCAGTGACCGTGGAGTAAAGATATCAGCGATTGATGCACATTAGAGAAGGCGCCGGGCCAATGTTACAATATATTATAAAAACACAAATTTAATAAAGTATATTAAACCTTTAATTGTGGCTAATCATATTTAGAGCCAGCCCAAAGCATAAGCAAACAAAGCAGCTGCTTGGGCTCCCCTGAGAGTGGGTGGCCTCTCGCTTGGACTATAGATGTTAAAACTTTAAATCTGTTTTTAAATTTATTGAGAGCAACACAGCTTTTAGACTTCAAATATTTCTGGAGAGTAAAATTGTTTCCATTTTGACTAAAACTTAAAAAGAATATGATAGTAAAAACCATGCTAAATAGAATATAACAGATATTTATGATAAGTCATAATTTACTGTTGATGGACTGATGGTGTTTGTAATGCACACTGTGATCGGTGGCAACTGCCAGAGCTCATGCTGTAACCAGGGTTAAAAACAGAGTGAACACACAACTTATTTACTATTTATTTATCAAATGATGTAAGGTCGGTAAGTCGAATGTCAGTCTGACTCTGTAAAACTAAATCTATCGGAACTGTTTTGCATATTTAGGGCGTTTAATGTTAAAAGCGAATCCTTTCATTTGACCTTTCCAGATTTATAAAGACATAAAACTGTTTAGTAGCCTCCTTTCAGCCAGCTGACACAATGTGATTGAAAAAGTTGATCAGCCCCAAATTTTGTTCAACAATCAGAAACTTCCACAAGAATCAAAATTAGTTACTGTTTTTCCTTTTTGTTTAATTCTAAAGCACATAATGCGACTTCACAAATAAAATACGGTTTGATAGTAATTCAATCTCTGCTCCGCTTTTACCAAGCCCAAAGAAAAGTCTCATTTTGTTGTCTCAAGAACAACTTTTTACCTAATTTACAAAAAATAAACAAATCTTAAACATAGATACACCAAAAAGTCAAAAAAACAAAAAACAAACTCAGCTTCACATCCAGTGCTTACATTAACAGCTTTCACTCACTTCACCGGACAAAATGACTTTGGCAGGAACCAGAGAGTGCTTCGCAACACTTTGCAGACTTCATTCTCCTGAGAAATATTGCTGAGTTTTAATAATACAAATTCTCATTACACCTACGCTAATTAGCATTACCTTCCACACCAAACTGCAGCACACCAACCGGAGTTTTATATCCTCTTGAATTGGCTGCATTTGTCATTTTGCTCCCTCTAAAACAATGCAGAAAGATGCACCTTTTTTTTTTCTTTTTTATGCAACAATCGTAACGTGTAAAAATAAGGACGGTTATCCGTGGTCATGCCAACATGAATTGATATTATTTGTGCTTTAAAATGTGTAGTTGGGGCCTGCCCATAGCAATGCATAGGGAGAGCAGTGACTGACCTGCGAAGCAGGCACCTATTGTTAAATAATAGTACTCTCCCAGTGACAGGTTTTTAAGTCTAAAGCGAGAGACACAGTAATAAGGCGCCGAGGCACAGTGAGAGGTTTTGGACTTGCAGATAATTGCTGCAATTGCAGATAATTTAATGCGCACTAAGGTTCCCCCTCACTGCTCCGCTGATGTCTGTGTAAGAAACCGTGGACTTTCTCTCATTTACACGAGTTGGTGGCCCCCGTTCTGCTCATAGCAAAACAAAAGACATGGACTCTTGAACATATGTCCCCTGTGTTCCACACCATTAAAGACAGGCACGAGGGGGAGGGAGGAACAAAAAAGAGAAAAAGGTTTGAAAAAGAACAAAGTCAGGGCTAGTTTGGACAACGAAATCTGGTTCCATATATCATCCCCGATCTTCTCTGCTAAGCAAAGCCAGAGTTCGACTGAAGAGGAGAAGAAGTTCCACCAAGGGAGTTTTACAAATCGCACGGCTTGGAAAGTTCCTTCAGGGAATCCTGGTGTGATTCTGACAGCTTTTTAACATTCGCATCAGGCCAACGCTCTGTTCCTGAGTTTCTAATAATATGATCATGTAGGCTGCCTGTGTCTGCAACGTGTGCCGAAATCGAAGGTATTCTGCAGTTTTACTTTGTGAGCGTAGTTGGGAATCGTGGCGTCTGTCCATAGGCTAACCCCCAAGCTAAGCCCCAGCAGCAAAACGATTCAAAAACATTCTAAATTCATCTCTGCATCTTATCACTTAGAAATAATTGGCATGAATATTGTTTACCGGAGGAGTGCTGGACCATCAAGATTGTGTTCGATCGACCGCGTTTGCATTTCCTTAACTTTCATCAGCAGATAAGTTAACTTGTGTTTTCTAACAATGTTTGGTTCAGAAACATAAATGGCTTCCTTCACCTTCTTTGGTAAACGGTATGTGTAAAGAGGCTTGTGACATAAACAATATTTATCATTCTTTGCAGCAGCGTAAACAAACAGGGAACATTCTAGAAAAATACAAACTTTATAGTGAACAAATATTTGGTTTCCAGAATAGTTCCTTTAAAAAAAATAAAAATATAATCTGTCTTTGAAATGAACTGGCATCATTCACCCAATGACATGAACCCTCATATGATGGATGGATGGATGGATGGATGGATGGATGGATGGATGGATGGATGGATGGATGGATGGATGGATGGATGGAGTGGTCCAGTCTGCTCCTTCTGAACACCAAGTTTTCAAAATGGGAAAGACACAAGAACATACCATTTAGCTAACATCTACATTCGCTGCTCAGTCAGGAAATGTCAACAAGATGAGAACGATTCACTAAACTGTAACCATATCTACAGTCCGAGCAAAAACTGATGAGTTAAAACTAAATCTTTGGCAAACAAGACCGAACAAAAGCCCGTGTTTACTTTGCCGCCATGCACTGTGGGGTAAATGGTGGCAGAGTTGAAAAAAATCCAAAGATAACTAATTATAGAACGTCAGCCAATCACTCATAGTGTGCCAACATGGAAACTGTGAAATCAAATTGAATTCAATATCCAATGTATTTACGCTAAGAAGTGTTTTTGTTTAAAATTAAAATATTTGCCGCCAAAACAAATGGCATCCCTATGAATTCTTACAAAATAAATGAGTGTCATATCTTTACTGCAACCATTTATAGTCTTGTTTACTTGAGGTGCTAATAAGTTTAGAAGGAGTTGTACATTAGGATGACTGGTTAGTTACCTATGAATATGTATTTCTGAACAACCAAGAATTTAGAATCAGTTGTAACATCAGAAAACATCTGGTAGCTAATTTTATCAGCTGAAAAAACTCAGACAGTGGATGGAATCTCTTCTTCAGATAAAAAAAAAAAAATCAAAAAAATTAAAAAGCAGTTCCTCCATTTTAATTTGTGGCAAGCGGATTTCTGCCGGTAAATTACATAAAGAAGTTATGCTGTCTGTGCTAAACGACGAGGAAATAATAATTCAAATGATTTCTTTTGTTTGATTTGAACAAGAAATGCTTTCTAAAACCAGAAACATTTCTAGACACAAAGGGCTTTTGTCTACTAAAGTGCTTCCCATAGGTGCATGAATCAATCTGCTGCAACATTCAAGGTGAAAACAAATATCTCAAAGCTTCAACATGAAACACACCGAATGCAAATCTATTTAAAAAATCAGAATACTTAGAGGCGTGTCACTTTTAAGAGAATGTTTAATTGGAGTAAATCTGTAATTTAAGAATCATCGGTTTAATTTCCGACTAATCCCGCTTTTAATTTTCTGCTGAGTCTCCTCATTACAGTGTCAAAGCACATTTTTATGACACCGTCCCACAGGGGAGGAGACCAGAAATTTCTCATTTGGGTCCCAGAGTAATAAAAGTCAAGTGTCCCCTCCCCTAAGCTGCTGCAATCGCACTTCCCAGCCCGTCTGTGTCTCTGGTGCAACTGATACGGTCACGAGCCTCTCTGTGGCAGTTAAAACCACAAAATGACCCATAAAAGAAACGGCGCGGTTTTACCGATTAGCTCACGCTGGCGTGATATGTAAGCCTCCACAAAAATAAAAATAAAAAAAGTAGAGAACGCATGTATTTCAGCAGGCGATTTAATGCTGCTTCTGTAACCCGAACTAAGTGATTCCTTGTGATTTCTGACATGAAAGTAAAACTTTAAAACGTGTCACTGGATCAGACGTGCTTAACTGTTAAAAGACATGTTTCAGTTTCTCAGATAATTACTTTTTTTCACCATCACTGTTCGCCTTTGATACAGAATTCCCTGTTTTCCCAAAAGTTATTCTGTGACCTGAACTGGCCTTATATCTAATGTTCACGCAAAACCTACAGAGCACATTCAAATCTGAATACAGTTAAACAGTATTTGCACTAATAAAGAAAAAAAAAACATTAAAAGAGATGAAGTGACACACACACACACACACACACACAAAAAACTCTGAAATATTAAATCCATGCCAAATATTTTGATTGGCCCTTCTTCCCAGGATTATTGCTTTTCAGCTAGACAGAACGGAAACCGTCTGGAGCAACAGGCAAGGAAGTTGTCAGAATCATAACATGTCAAACATTAATAACAGCGTGACATCTGTGTGGAGCTGCAGAGAGCCACTCTCTGCTCTCCTCCTCTCACTGGGCAGTAACAGACAGACACACACACACACACACACACACACACACACACACACACACACACACACAATAAAAACAGGATCATCTCGTATAATCGGCAGCCGTCTGCAACGGTCGCCTCAGTTTCTCCTTACCTGCTTGGTTCTCTCTCTCTCTCTCTGTGTGTGTGTTTGTGTGTGTGTGTTTTCTCCTGCGCTTGCTCCGGCCGTATGTGGGTGCACACGCTCACACACACACACACAACCCCTCAAACAGGAACTGATGAATCTGCACGACTTCAGCCCTGCAGCGTGCAGTGCATTATGGGGTTTCGCTCTCTCGGTCTCTCCTCTCCTCTCTCTCTGTTGGCAGTGTTAGAGGGGGATGTCCTCACCTCCTGTCTGGAAAGAGGAGGGCAAACACACACACGCGGTCACGCAAGCACGATGCAGAAAAAGACTTGTGAAGATGACTGCCGCGGCTTTGGTTACCATGGCAACAGCCTCCCTCCATCCCCCCTACTCCCTCCCCTCTTCATTTTTGCTCCTCTGATGTAGTTGAGCCTCTCTTACTTACAAGTATTCTGTTTAAATCAGGAAAGAAAGTGAAACTAAAACTTCTCTTTTTTGTCAGATAAACACACTCGTCGCGCTCTTCTCCACTTGTATGTGAGCTCCGTGTTTAGAGGTAAGCTGAGCAAGAGAGAAATGACAAAAGACTTGTGTTGACATGTTGATAACCAACTGTTGCTTCTGCCTTCTCAGATAAAGAGAGGGAATTATGGCGTAAGAGGGAGCAGAGATAGCTGCAGACGCTGTGTGTTTGTGCGCATGCAGATGCATGTGTGTGTGTGTGTGTGTGTGTGTGTGTGTGTCTGGGTCTGTGTGTGCAATGGCTACAGGAAGTTGGGTACAGTTTCTCCCAATGGTTTATTTCCTCTTCCTCGTCGCTCCTTCTAGTGTAGAAAGCCTGGATCCCTAGAAGAACAGGATGGTTGATCTTACATAGACTTAGCTCGGCTACTTTCTGACCATATATGGTCAGTACGTTTCCAGTGACTGTATGAAACTGACATTTCGAAAATACCTTTGCTTAATGGCAACAGGCCAATTTTGAAAAATACCGTTTGTTCTTTTGAGAAAACGGTTTCTGCGGCCATATTGAAATCGGTTTATTCCACAAACACTTTTTTCGTATCACACATGATCAGCAATCGGATGAAGGAGGCGACAGGAAGTAGGCATGTTTTTCAATGACTTATCTCGTGAACAAACGTATTCAAATTATCTAATAGAAACACCTCAATTGCAAATCTGTGGGGGTTTTCTTGACAATAGCGGAATATTGACAAACAGCTTGTGCTCATTTGCAATGAAAATGCATCTACTGGCTCTCAGTATCATCTCACTTTCTGGCTTTTGGGTTGGTTCAGGGAATGCATTTATTCCTTTTGGCACAAACGGTGGGTGGAAGGGTCGGAGATGCAAGAATGACACAAGAGTGAATGAATTACACAGAAGGCAAAGAGAGCGACTAAGAGATATAGTTGAGATATCCTCTCCCGTGTCTCCCTTGGTGACAGAGTGGGTGGGAAGCCCAGGCTGTCCATCAGGCCTTGCAAATCACCAATACACAGCTGAACCCTACAGAGCGACTTCAAGCCTTCGACGCCAAGTCTTCCGACCCTTTTGTTTTGTTTAAAAGCTACGAGCCCACTTCCTTTCTTTCTTCCCCCGCTGAGTTTAGCAGTCTCCCACTTTCCTCCAGATGTGATCTGACCACTCAACCGGCTGTGGCTGGTTCTCTTGTTTATAACTGTAAAGACATTCGCCGTTCATGAAAACCTCACACTAAGTTTAGAAGCAAATAGGGGAAAACGTCGCATTCGCGTGGCGTTCCCTCTCTCCCAGTTGTTATGGGAACCGCCGGCAATTGGGCTCGCTTTCGATTCGTCGCCTAAATGGTTGGGACGAGAATTCAGCCAGAAGTCTTGGCGAAGTAGACAAATAGGAGAGTGACTAGAGGTTGTTCAAGTTTTCCAGATAATTTGGACTTGCGGACATGTACCTACCTCGAAAGGAAACAAAACCCACTGCACTGTGTTCCCAGATATGTTTACATTCCCAGTTTTCTAAGGCCAAATTTTATTTGCGTAGTAGATAAGGTGACTTGACAAATCACTGTGATTTGCACATGGTGCTTTTCTTCATGAAATTACACATATGAAGTAGTTGAGTTACTAACCCAACTTGGATAATATTCTTTTGGATGCATAAACCAACAGTTTTTTTTGTTTTGTTTGTTTTGGTTAGTAAATGAATGTCACTTGTTTTGAGGCCTTAAGTCAGTCTGTTAATTCCACACAGACGGCCGTTTTCCATGTCATACAGTCACCTTCCTAAAATAATGAGTCATTTTTTCGTCTGTTTATGTTTTGAAAAGAAAGAAGTGCGGATTATTTATTTAGAGATTTTTGGGGCAAAATCACTTTTGGCAAAAATGACATTTCAGGATGGTTACAATATTAACTTTTGGTGTAGCTGTATTAAGGAATGTTAGCTATGCCGTCCTGAAAAACAGAAACACGAAAATCCATAATAGGTTTCACCTAAAATGCATTTTAATGCATCATAATGTAACAACACCGGGAAAAATGTTCCCGGTTCCTACTTCAAACTTAAGATTGATTTTTTTTTTTTTTTTTAATGTTTTCTGAGGAAGACAAAATCTGAAACAGATCAAGTAAAGCAAACGTTTTCAATCTATTTTCGCTTTCTGCAGGAAGCATAAACCAGCTGGGACTCCTGTGGTCCTTGTAATGAACGGTTGCTGAATTTGAGGGACTCTGAGCAACTTGCTCAGATTTGAAAGCCAGTATGATTAGTCTGCTCGTTGGGACTAATGGCAATAGCAGGTGTCCACAGGCTCCATGTGCCACATCTACTCATTAGGGATATTAACATTAACTACCTACACACACACACACACACACACACACACACACACACACACACATGCACACACAAAGACCCCCTCACTGTTCATGGAACTATTCATTAATGACATTGCAGTGGCCCTTGAGCACAACGACCATTGATTAGGCTTATGCATAATGATTGTGGTGGAACTGCTGGTGTAATTATTGCTACCTTCTGACTTCTGTTCACATGGATTTAGATTTTTAGAACCGACATGCAGTGAAGGTATAATACATCTTCCTGACATGGATAGCTGCAGTAAACCTCGACCTAAACCTAGGAGCGTTGCATGACATCTGGTCGCCCTGAACACAAATAACATGTGGTGCTAACCACCAAAAACCAGTAATCCATTAGTTTTTTTGCTGCATCTTTTTCTTTCTCATTTGGTGGTGTAAAGTTAAGGTTCAAGAAGATAACAGACTTTAGTAGAGTTAAAATAAAGAAACAAATGAAGTGCAATGAGAAATGTACCGGTGTAATACAGAGTTAACACTCATACTATAAAGTGTTGTTAGAATCAAAGCTTCAAGTATACGTGGGACCAAAACTGACCTAATTAAAAATAAAAGCAGAAATCTTAATGTTTCTGCTTTTACTGTTTTAATTATCAATAAATAAAAGCAGACATAAGTAAAAGTAAATATTGATGTCAGGAATAATGAAAAACTATATATATATATATATATATATATATATATTTGATTAATTTGCAGAGCTTAATGAAAGATAAATAATTATTTTCCACTGACAGACTAACACTGCTGCTGAAAATAAGCCGTTTTTGAAGCAGATGTAACAGCCTGGCTCAGTTTTTTTATGTCTTTGTTGCTTTTAAATGTATTATTTTGCAAGTCTTTCATTGTTCAAGGCAGTTTGGTATTGCTTCAGTAGTAAATTACTGCAAGTAAAATGAGGCTTTGCTACATTTTCTAGTCTACAACAGTGAACTAACTGCTTAGCAACAATTAACTACACACCATTTTCATGTACAGACTTCTCTAAATTGAACACGCGCACATTAAACATCATGTGGCAGTTTTCATTACGGGCTGATTAACAGCTCCTTTTTTGGACAATCAGTAGCCCTCTTTAACTGAGCTAATAAAGGTCAGAGCAGCTTTTGTTCAAAAATCAACCCTGAACTGTTAAGTCCAGCATGTGTTTAAATAGACCGCCACACAAAACCCAGAAACACCAGAACCGGCACATCCACGTTTACAAAGAAAGTTCGAAAAGAGCAGCTCTGTTTTGAGTTGCACTTTAAAACAAGTGCTTTATCGCAAAATTGTGTTGATATAAAGTCCTCAAGATTAATTTTATCAATTTGCTTGTAACTGACATGAGAGTGAGGCAAAGGTTGTTTTTTTTAAGTCTCTAATTTTGACGAAGGTCTCAAAATTGGCTCTTCTTCAAACGATAGCTGAGGATTTCCTGATCTGGTCTCAGGTATTGGCTGCCTGACTGTCCTGTGTGATAACCCCTCAGGGAGCTCAGTTCCTGATACCCGTTGTTTGTCCGCTTTCCTGCGCATTTCTTAGTTGATTATTTTCTTTTACGTGGCTCAGAATTACAGAGTCCCGGGAGAGTCGTTGAAGAGCACAGCTGTAACAGCCTGCAGTAAATTTTAGGACGTTCAAACTGAAATACGATGTTTACAAAGGCAAAGAGGCTTTTTTGTTCATGTTTTTTTTTTCTCAGTCAATTTTGTCCAGACATGATTAACTAGCATAGTAATGAAATATGTTACGAGCCAAATTAATAAGTCATTTCAGCCTAAGCACTTCAGACAAACTGTTCTGGCTGAAAACGTCAACGGGACGTGAGTTCATTGAGGAGTGTAGCTGTATGTACTGACCAATCCTTATGACCGATCTTGCATAAAGCTGTATGTTTTAAAAAAAATATTTTTAGGTGACACTTGATGGAACATTATAGGAGCTTTCTTAACCGAGTTAACCCGTGTTTGGACAGTATATTGAATCCGCCTCGTTGAAACCGCAGCTGGAAGTAACAGGTCTCACTGGGAAAGCAAAGCCTGCAGCAGCCGCAGTGAGCGAGTCGAGTGCTAAATATCCGCTACTCATGTAGAACATGTGTAGCTGATGGAATATAATATTTTCTTTTACTGTACACACATGGAATTACTGCAGAATCAGACAGAGACGCAGTGTTCCCTGTTGCTTACTCTCGATGTTGGACCAAAACATTCTGACCTGTGCATCGCCGTTAACCACAACATATGGTAATCCAAGTTATTTGCAAGTACATGTTCCCTTGTCTATATGTGGCAGTACAGAGGCTTACTGTCGGCCTGCCCCTGCAGAGACTCACAGTGAACAGAATGACCAAGCACCACAGCATCAAACTTGATTTCTGTTTAACAATTCCCGACATGCAGACTTCCATCTACGCACTCAGCATATCCCTAATGGTAATCG